CATTTAGATTAGTTTTTTTCCCATCTTACTCGTATCAGACATTCACTGACCATGAATATGTGAGTAAGGAAGTACAATGATATTTCAACACCAAAATGGAACAGTAAGAGACTATGAAAAAGAAAGGTTAGATCTACTTGCTAGTATCTGATTATTTTTTTTCTTTAGCTTTTGTCACCCATTCTATCCCCCCCCCCCCCCCCCCCTTTAGTTCGTTCAGAGGAGAGGACAAAATGTACCCCTTTGCCACTCTTCTTGCGTGGGAAAACCAGATTTTGAAGCTATGTGTATATCATCGACCCTATCAATTAATAAAGTTAAACCTAAATATAATATAGGGCTGTTTCTAAATGGCTAGAAAGCGACAATACATCCGTGGTTCGTACGAAGTTGAAACACAGCACGTGTATGTAGTAGCAAGCGCCAGAAAACCATGTTACTTCTCTCTCTCTCTCTCTCTCTCTCTCTCTCTCTCTCTCTCTCTCTCTCTCTCTCTCTCTCTCTCTCTCTCTCTCTCTCTCTCTCACTCTCTCTCTCTCTGTCTGTCTGTCTGTCTGTCTGTCTGTCTCTCTCTCTCTCTCTCTCTCTCTCTCTCTCTCTCTCTCTCTCTCTCAGTGAAATGGATAACAAGCCCAGCCATCATTAAGGATGCGATAATCACGTACAAACATTTGAGCTAAACGTGGGTGGTATCTACGGATGTACTGGCCTCACTCAGCCACAATTTTTTGGGACATTTTTTCGAGTATATGCCTCACAGTCAAGTTCATGAATATTCTAAATTTTCGAGCCACCTTCTCTGAGCGTAAGACAAGGCAGTAGATGAAGGATACAACACAGCTTTTGTCACGATGACCCTGACAACAGACTTTGAGACGGGTTAATCAAGCAATTAAGTAGCTTTTGGTATCATTTCCTATTTTTCTCCATGTGACTGCACACGTGCGCGAGTGACACCACTTAATCTACTCTGCAAGGTTTTAAGTTATCAACAGTATTGAGACGGTACACTGAGGAGGAAGTAAAAATGGTTTAATGATTTATCCGAAGCAACACGATCACGCAATGTGATAATAGGAACGTTCCACCTCATCAACTCCTATAATGTACTCTAAATTGACTTCCTATATCCCCATGCACATAGAACATAGAAGCCCCTCAATTCTATCAAATATCATCTGTTCAAAGCATCGAAGGTTGTACTCTGATTCGTAAAGCGCTGTCTTGTAATGTCCATTACCTTACCCAACTTAAATTTAGACATAGTTGGCTTCCCTTTCGCTCTATAGCTAGGTTTATGCATCCACGAAGTCGTTTGTTGGTGTATGTCCATCCAGTGTCTCCTAACATTGCTATCCGTTCACTCAATATCATATTAATATGAAGACTGACTTTCTATTGTCTTCCGATGGGATGTTACCTTCACACAATTAAATAAACGGAGCTCAATAAAATCAGGCATCCCACAGTCCTCGCAATTCGGGGACTCTTAGATTTTCATTTTGCACAATAAATGCGATGGTCTTTAGATGAGAGTCACACACACGATGCATAATGCCCTTATGTTGTTGGGGTCACGTTTTGTTTGACTCACTCATGTCCACTTGAGCCTAAAACCAATTAATGAAAAGAAAAGGTAAAGGAAAACGATCGCCTGCCATTTTCAACCAGCCACTTTGTAAATAGAAAGAAAACGATTTAGAAAATAGAACGCTGTGTGCATTATCTGGCTCTATTTCATCTTCGAAAAATCAATGAGCGAAGTTGCATAGAGTTGTCCCTTGTAACACTGTAGGGCTATTTAGGAGGTGGGACCTCCGAATTTAACGTCTATCTCCGATATGGCTGAAATGGGAAAACTCATGAAAAGTGCATTTTTCAAAGACACAAAGTAGGACCAAGCTTAACCTTAAGTCCCCGAACCCACAATATCACAGTTAAGAGTAATGTGTCGTAACTATTAGCTCGTTATGATCCCTAAACCTAATTTATACCGTTTAGCTACCACGATAAAACTGTTTAAGCGTACCTATTTCTTCCAAATAATCACTCAGAGATATTCTAAATAAGAAAGAAACCTAATAATAGAAACGCTCAGCTGTTAAAACGATCTTCGTGGGAAATTGACCACAAAAGTTAGTTTCCCTTAAACTTTAATACTTCACTTTATTTTATTCTTTGAGTTGTACAATAAAAAGCACGAGTAGCTTAATTTGTCAGTATTAGCACTCTGTACTACCTAAACAGGTAAACTGATGATGACGGCAAACTTCAACCTCACAGGCAAAATGGCTGCGTTATAATCAAATTATTCGCATGTAAATAACAAGAACAAACGTCTGTTACCCCCACATTCCAATTCTTTAAAAAAATATTATTTAGCAGCACAATAAGTGAGGGCATTGCGTGAGTATTCATGAATTCGTCATAATTATATTCAAACACCCGTTCCAACAAGTCATAATTATATGCTTTTAAGTCGAACAAATCGGTCAGAGCAGGATTTTTAAAAAAACCCAATTTAATGAGCAGAATAGAAAAAGTTATTTGAAGTAATGACTTTTTTGATACTATGTGATATAATGTTGTAACCACCAATATACTCATTCTGCCTTATTTTACTGACTGAGGGAGCTACACTGTGACACGAATCACTCGTTTTTGTTTTTCTACTTGGACTAGATCTAACTGTTGGGTTGTCGTCTAATTCTTCCAGTTTCACGGAAAAGGTCTGAATTCATTAGCTTTTGTTCACAGAGTTGATTATTTGAATGAAATCTTTTCCCTCATTATTGCATTTATCCTTCTTTTTAACTTTGTGCTTTTATTGGCCCATTATGATTCTAGTTAATAGATGCCGTGTATTGCATTTATCTCATATCCACGCTCTACAGCGTGTTCTATATGCGTTTTGCTGCTATTTTACCGCAGCAGACCTTAGAACGCCAAGAAACATTCCGGACTTCCAGAGGAACTTGGAGTGCAAGCTGTAGATTACGCAATCTAAAAATACTAGCACACTGACAAAATCTTTCTATAGCCGGGTGCCCTTTCCAATCTGATAGAAGTGAGGAAAATTCGGGTAAAGTGCCTTTCCCAAGGATATTATATCGATCCGCTGACATGATTCGAAGGTGTGAACTCTCAGATTTTTACACAACCTATCTTTTGAACATTGCACGATGGGTGAAGTATACATACTTACTTCATAATATACAACACAATCAATCATCCTCCCGGATGCACATTTTTTTCAAAATTGATTTGGTTAGAGACTATCATCAGATTTCTTTAGCATCTTCGCCTTTTGCTAAAAATGCCATCGTACCTGTAGGCCTGTTGGAGTTTTTCTTCCCATGACTAAAGAACGCAGCGCAGACTTTTTCGTATAATGAATGGCATTCTGCGGGACATTCCTTTCGCTCTTTTTTTTACATCGACGGCATCCTCGCATTAAGTCCCGTTAAGATTATTTCAAGCACGTGTGATAACCCAGCCCCCTTCTCCTTTCAACCACTGGGCTGGTCATCGACCAAACTCAGAGTGTTTTTCTTTTGTGTGAGTGGATTGGATTTCCCTAGGCGTCTTATCACCGCTCAGGGAATACGCCCCCACTCTGACCTTGGAGAGGCCCTGCGTGACTGATCTGCTTCTACCGACAGCATCAGTCTTCAGAGGTTTTCATTCATTCCACATGCTGTTGATTTCCTAACTCCACTTAAAGACCAAACAAGTGGGGGCGCACCGTTAGCTCCGTTCGTATCATGTTTGACTATGGAGAAGATAGCCCTGGTTCTAATCCGAGACTGTGTGTTCTTGAACTTGGGTCGTTTTGTGGAGTTTACAAGACTTTAAATTCATCTGGTTCGATCTTGTCGAAGACAGAAGTTAAATTCAGAGGTCTCACCTCTTTTAAATAGCCCAATAGTGTTGATGAAAGCGTTTACCCATGCACTTACACACACAGACAAGTGGCAAAGAACGAGCCATGGGGTGATCTACAGAATGTGGTATTGCATTAAAAAAAACAACTGAATAGGTACTCAACGAGTCGGCACTGTTACACAATGCCTAATCATACCCACCTACAAGTTTTACTGCAGATGCATCCAGCACTACAGTAGGTGTCGGTCTTTCCTCTAAGGAACTCTCTGAAACAGAAATAAAGTATAGTGCTTTTGGTCGTTGACTCTATGCAGCCTATACTCCCATCCAATATCACAGAAGTTTTCGGAGAGGGGACCGTTTATGCTATACACATATCTTAAACCCTTAATTAATGTCAAAGCTTGAAAGCCAAATGATTGTTCCCCTCGACAGTCAAGACATATTTCTTTAATTGCCGAATTTTCACTAACATCCGCCACATCTGTGGCAGGTTTGATATGGTATCTGACGCCCTTTCATGCTTCAGTACCAGCTTCATTACAGAGCACTACATCACCTCTATGGGTGACTTCAATCTGGCGAGATGGAGGCCAATCGCCTACCATCAACTGGTCTTTAGCTAAAAGACATTAAGCTTAGGATATCGAGCCTGCTCTGTGAAGTATCCGCTGTTGTACAGAGGAAGGTTGTTACCAAATTCCTAGGCAAACCCAGTTTTTAAAAACACATTTACAGACTCCCATATGCAGGTGCACTCCCCATGCAACGAACCATCAGCCAACGTTTTGTATAACATGGTATAATGGTATAACCGTGAAGATATAATATTATGCAAATGGTGCAAAATATGTCATGTCAGTCAAAAATTCAAAATCCACCAACACACAAGTGCCCCACTAGTGGAACACAATCCACGTAACAATAGTACATTCTGCAATCTGCATGTGGACTTTATTGGTCCTCGGCCCACGACCCGGGCAGGAACTATGTTTTCATTATCATAAACCGTTTCACCAGATCGCCAGAAGCCACCTTTCTATCAGATGTACATGCTTCCACATGCGCTACAGCTTTCCTCCATAATTGCTTTGCCAGGTTTAGGGATGCGGAAGACATGGTTTAGTTCGCAGCTGACACTTCACTTTAAATCGTTGTGCAGAATGTATCATGATGATAGGCATCGAGGCTCAACCAGGCGAATGGCATGGTAAAATGTTTCCACCGTCAGCTTACGGCAGCACTTTAAGCACCTCTTACTGGTCCTGACTAGGTGGCAGAGCTGCCCATCGTTCATTTAGGAATTCGCTCTTGTTAGGGAAGGGAATCCAATTGTTCTCCAAGTGAGACTGTCTATTACTCAAGATTTCCTCAGAAATTTCTTCAATAACTGAGAGTACAGCCCGTTAAACTAGACTCTACATTTCATAATGTCTCCAACGCACTACTGGTTCAGTGCATCCCCAGCACCAAAGTTCCTTTGAAAGAGATCTGCCTACAAATCTGCAAACTTGTTTTTAACTGGTTCTGTGTAACTGTTTGTCGCAAGTAACCACTTCAGTAACCGTGTCAAGGCTATTATCGCATCATTGATATCAGTTTCTCCAGCTAGAAATCAAGGGACACACTCAGAGAACGTCAAGACTGATCAACTAAAAGCTGCTTTCGTTGCGTCGCTTACATCACCCGTTAGCAAGAGACCGAATTCCACTGTTGAAGTATCGCCACCCATCGTATCAAAATCACCACTAGATCTCCAACCCTCTCAGGTCGTATATCCCGGATACCAGCAATATTTTGTGACCTTCATATCAGCTCAGTTCCTGACAATTCGCTTTGTTCACAGTTGTAGGCCTCCACAGTTTATTCGTGGGAAAGGGGGGGGGGCGTAACGACTTATTGGCATAGTATCTTTGTGCATACTAATGAAACGACAATTTAATGAGACTACTTTGCTCTTGTGAGGACATATATAAGAGTGGCTGTGGGTGACTGTTCAAACAGCTCTGTTCTGATTCACGAACTGTAAGTTCCTACAGGTACCTCGAGTAAGGAATAATTGAAAAATATAATAACTTTTTTTTTTTCAAGAACGTTATTTAGTTCTTTGCGTGTGTGGATATTTGAAAGGTAAGACGGTGTTTTAATACATAAAGCAGCCCAAAACATTCAAGAATAAGAAAACTTGAACAAGTATTACTCAGGTGTGACTAGTTAAATATAATTCAATAGGTTATTTTCCATCTTTAAGATTGTATGCATAAAAAAGCAACTACGTTTTTAACCGATATACACAAAAAGAATACAAAATACACAATATTTTACCAATGTAGAACAATGAACATTTCACACACATGCTTTGCTGGTCGCCCCTGTGCAACGCTCTCTTTGTTTGGTTGTTTTTTTTTTTGGGTTGTTGTTTTTTGCTAATTATACCGTATCTTGCTCAAGGTTACAGCCAAGTGACAACACATCTAAACCACACGTCACCGACACTTACTTAACATCATTTTTGAGTCTGAACTCACTACTCACTCAATCACTGGGCCCTCACCTGAGAACATAGGATGAGAAGCAATCGGTTATACTGTTTTACCGTAAATCCAAACCCATAACCAAACCACCCCACAGCGTTGGTATCAAGGGCAGGAAACATAATATTCATTGATTAAACGCAACAGGCACGACTTGCAATAACCGATCAGCAGACCAAAACCCTTGTTATTGAACAATTCGAATTGTCATACATGAGTATTTTAGAAAACAAATGAATTACTTTATTCTATAATCTGTGTGTTGGAGTGAACATAAATAGTGAAATGCTATAGGTTCAATGCTCCTATCAACACTGTTAGGCTATTTAAGAGGCAGGACCTCAGAGTTTAACGTTCTTCTCCGAAAGGACAGAGCCAAAGGGGGAAGTCGTGTTACAAGGACACAACGTTGGGCCGAGCGTATGTGTGGTGCCCTTGACATTTTAGAAACAATATATAAAGCAAAACGATTTTAGAAATCTTTATTAAAAAATGAGGTTAAATTCTTTTTTTCCCCTTCTTTTTCTTTTTTTTTTCCTTTTTATTTTTGCATGTGCCCCTGACCAGTACACCTTCAAGCGTTGTTGAATGATTGAGTGTTTCTTTCTGTGGCGAGATAGGCGGTTTTAGTAGCCTGCCGACTGTGTAAGCAGCCTTAAATTGTATGTTAGTGTCCGTAACTATTGTCTATGGTGTGAGCCTGTATTTCATCGCACGTTTTATTCTTGTTTAAACCAGACTGACGCTATGGTGGCACAGGATTTCGATGACATTTTGGACCAAATCGGAGGGTTTGGTCGATTCCAGAAAATACTTTGCACGCTTTCGTTTTTCCTGGTCATACCCGCGGCCATGATAACATACACGCCCATGTTTATCCTCACCGTGCCGAAACACAGGTAAGCTTTCTTTTTTAAGAAATTGTTTTGATTTAGCGGCCTTTGCAACACCATTAAGGTATTTATGAGGCTGGACCTCTGAATTTAACTCGCATCTCCTATAGAAAGGAGCCAAGTTGGACAATTGATGTAAACCGCTTTCCCAGGGAAACAACATCGGACAAAGCTAAGCCTCGAACCCTCGAACCGTTAATCACACGGTAACAGGCAAGGTCTATTATAATACTTCTCTTCCTCCTTGAATGGTGACGGTCATCACCAGTTCGTGATGAAAAAATAAATTATTATAATTACACTGTACTAAAACTGAATACACCGATGACTCTGTTGTTGTGGTTCTTTGCTGGATTTAAGGGCGCGTTGAATGAATTCCCGTTTCAGGAGGATATTGGAACGAGTAGCTCAGTCCGTTTGTTGTGCTTCTATATTTTGCTCAGGTCGTGTTGGCCCTGACAGTCAGAGTTGGAGTAAATGTACTCTACCGAATTTAAAAAAAAATGTATCGATATAGTCGAACGACACAAGCTCTTCAAATACAAATATAATATGTCATTTCGAAAACTGAATACTGGATTCCATGGTTCAAGCAGAATGAAAAAAAAATTCTACCCTTTCTCATCACTATCATGGACTAGTGAACTTGGCGGAGTAGATATGCTTATTTTCCGTCTGTGACAATCGTTGGTTTTTTTTTAAAGATTAAGTATCACTTATTTGAGTAAGTAACCTTCCCGCAGTGCAGTTACAGTTTGAAACAAAATGCAGGGAACATTTAGATTTTAAAAATATAAATCTATGTTCTTGTGTGCAAAAAGGTAAGCTATGAAAAGTAAATATGAGGGCAGAGAATCATGTTAAAAGAAGCTTAGAATCTTGAAATATTCTCGAAAATGTTAATTAAGCAGAGAAACTATTACAACTGATTAACATTTGAGTATTAATGGTTTTATGCAAATATCTTTTTTTTTGTCCGGAAAAAGACTGAATATCGTAAATATACGCTTTATCTCCCTGACTTTAACTTCACCGCTGGTCCTTGTCCAAAATGCAAATGAGAATGGATCGTCATGAATCGCAAACTGGATTGTCTTATGCAACCGCCATCCAGGTGCATAAAAAGAGTTCAATTGATAGAGTAAAAAAGTGAGTTTGGCTAAATACCCTTATCCAGGACGTCGCGCTTGGTGGCTCTTTTTGTGTGACACATAGATGTAGCAGATGGCCTGACAAAATAATTTAAAACACTCAAGAATGTAATTTACACTGGGTACAGATTCGTTCGTTGCTCATGCTCTCTATGTTCAAGAGGAATATTACATTACAAAGTATATATTTAAAAAAAAATTACATCGTGCTTTCCTAAATATACGCCAAGGGAAGCCACGCAAGGCACAGATGGCTGTTATTGCGCTTATTATTTATTGAAGGTTTTTACCATAAATAAACGGAATGAGTTATCCCCTCATATGCGGACTTTATGAGGACATTATCTTAAACCATATTCTTAAGAGGTTCAAAGCTTCAAAAAAATATTTATTAGTTTCATTTTTCAAGGAGAGTAGTATCAAATGGAATCGGAACAATTTTCAACACTTGATCTTGATGAAATGTCCTTATCAACTTTTAAGGCACGCCATAGCACCGAGACCCCTTATGAGAGTAGGTTACTCTGACGTACTGAATTTCGTTGATGAGGAAAAAAAGTTTACTCACGTTTTTAGACTTGTTATCTGTTTTTGACACAGTAGATCATGACATACTCTTTAGAAGATTAGAAACGAAGTTAGGAATACCAGGCATTGCTATAAAATTACGTCATCTAATTAGTGTAGGTCTAGTGTTGAGCATATAATGTATTAGGTATGGTCAATACAACGTTATGATAAAGCTAGCCTGGTTGATGGTAGACTATTTGTTTTTACTTTTTCCTAGTTGCAGTTCACTCTCCCGTAAGAGACCGACACTTTGCGTGTTAAGAGTATCAGAGTCTTATTAAAAACGACGATATAATATACACTACCCCTTATGAAAATAAGAAACAATGGTTGCAGAGGTGTTCGTGATGTAGATGCTGAGGATAATGATGGTAATAATGAGGATGTTAATGACGTTGATGATTATAAGGCATAGACGTGAATAAAGAAAAGAATGCTTTATGAAACAGAGATGATATTTTTTAAATAATGTCTGCTAAACTGATTAAAAGAAAGAAGAGTTATTAACTTTCAGAATTGTGTTTCTTTGAATTAATAATAATCATATCTTCCTCTGCTCCGTTTACATACAAGGGTGCCACTCTCTTTCACGTTTTTTGAAGGAACGACCATTTATTTGTTACAGAAAATATTCCAGAATTGTGGGCTGATCTGGTGGCATTAAATTTGTTAGCGTTAACCTACACTAACAGATTAAAAGTTCATGACAGGTTGGACGAGTTTGATGTTAGGTCAATGAGAGGGGAGTAAGATTTAGCAAGATAGAGGGACTATAAAGGTAGGAACAATTACGCAAGTGAAATTTAGAAAAGCTCGAGAAACTTTTTTGAGTGCTGAATTATTTTCTTTCACCTTCAGGAGATCGATTACAGATTCCTGCTCTAGACCTTCAAACCTATCAAGGAGGATCACAATAAACACAACAGATTTCCATCCCTCTCTACAGGACCCCAAGAGGTTTCATTGGGCGCCTAGAGTTGATGCCTACAGCTAATAACATTTTGTAGCCCTAGCGGTTTTTCTCTCCGTACAAGGAGTAGGATTTTGCGTCATACCTAAAATATCGTTATCAAACTGTACAGATAAGAAATAAAACGCCTCTTGGCGTTCTCCAGGGCTCGGTATTTCAGCCAGTATTTTTTTTTACATTCTGTACATAACCTCATGTTAATTTACATACAATTTACAAAATGGAACATAATTTTTGTGCAAATGACACGCAATATTAAATGTATATTGCAGATAACGTTAAGCCGATGTATACAAAACATGACGCTTTGAATGAACGCTATAAAGTTTAGCTCGATTAAGAAAAAACAAAACAAACAGGTATCATGCCTGTTGCACATAGCAACATAATAAATATAACACACAGAAGACACAGTTATATGTTAGTGGCCACAACGCCCAGATGATTGAAAAAAGATAGAAGTACTTCAGATATGATTCATAACTGAGGAATGGTCAAGGAATTAATAGAAGCAAAATAAAAACAACCTTGGGGTAGTTATTGACCTCAAACTGTCCATGTTCTACATCTACACAAGTGAGCTTTGTTATCAATATTGTTCTACCAGCCCAGGGAAACTGGTTGAAGCATAAGAAAGTACCTCGATGAAAATATAACAAAACCACTAGTAACATCTTTTGCACCATCAGAATAAGATTTCTATATTTCTTTACTTGCTCAACTTCAAAAGAATCGTTTTGCAGCGCCCCCAGATTGTCCAAAACCGTGCTGTCCGTCTTATAAAGAAAAGAATAATCAAAACGCATGTGAGTCCAATCCTTAAAAATCTGCGCATGCTACTTTTGGAGAAATTAAAATGAACTATTCATAAAATGTGTCTCTTTTGTTTAAAATTCCTAGACGGGCTTGTACCATACTATATCTCAATCAGAATCTATACGTCAACACCTGCGAAGCAACTAGGATCAGCATTAGACAAATAATTCTAGTTAAACCAACATGTCATTATAAATATATATGGCCAGCGCTCATATTTATTTTTGACGCAAAATCTGGATCTAGTTACCCTAACAACATCATGGAGGCCAGTTCTTTCTATCTGTTCAAGAAATAGCTG